TTTCTTTATTATTATAAATGCTACAATGAAAAGAATAATCAAATCAAAAGGCCGTTTAAATTTTCAATACAGCAACGTATTTTCGCATCTTGACGCTGTAGTACTCCCTTCGCGATTGCAAGACAAGTCTGCCGGTGTACAAAGAAATTAATAAACAATACAATTTATATTTAACAAATTAATGTGTATTAATTCAACCGCTTTCCGGTCAATTTTTTGATCCAGGAAACTAACGACGTTAATATAATGTTAACGTTAGGTAACAGTAAGGAGAGTCTTTGCCATACAACAGTGCTATAAATATTTATCCGCTTTTTCGTCACCTTCACCCCCAGCAAAACACCAGCGTACTGTTACAGACCTCTACTGCTACTGTTAAATAAGCCGTTAACAGCATGTTATAAAAAGTACTTTGTGTGCTGTTTACATTAAGGGGCTAACAGTAACAGTATAACACTTTGGATGTCGAAACGGTTAAAAGAGTCAAAGGTAATAGGCTGCTTATTAACATCTGTTAAGACTGCAGCGTAAACCACAACAACTGTTAGCTCCACTATATCCATGAATCCATATTAACATACTTTAAGACTGCTGGGTAACAGTGAGGGCATGAATTCGGTCGTAAGGCTTGGTAGCGTTTCCTGCGCTTTTCTGAGGGGGTCCCAGGGTCGTGGCGGATGTGGGGGAGCGGGGCGCAACTTTTGGGCGGTCTCACGCTGGGGGCCGAGTTCAGAAAACTAAGTAATGGGGGAAAAACCGGTAAAGTTCAGTTTTTCAGTCCCTAGCATTGTATTTTGCACAAAGGTAACACGCGAGAAGTGAAAACTGGTGTATTCGATCACTTTCCACGAAAACCTGATCGTGGCGATCTGCCCCCCACCCCCGGCTCCCGTCGACAGCACTTTTTTCTCGCGGAAAATGCGGCGGAACGAAGAATTTCGCGAATCACAGATTTCAGGTCCAGGAGGTCATACAGTTCTGGCGCCGTTTTTAAAGTTTTTCCTTGTTTTTAAAAGAATTAGTGAAGTAAAAATAAGTATATAGAGGGCAAGATTCAATCACAACTCAAATTATTTTCTGTTAATATTTATAATTTTATAATGTCTTTTCGACTAGAACTTTTTGAATGAAAATATTCAGTTCTCAAATAAATTAAAAAAACAAGTCATTTATAAAGTTATACAAAATTTAAATTATTTAAAGCTAAATAATTGCATATCCTTCTGCAATTTTAAGAACCAGAAATCGCGCTTTTGCTACTTTGCCATTTCCCAGCAGCTGCGACAGGTGATTTAAAAGCACAATCAAATATAGCCGAGTATTTCGAAAACTATTTTAAACCGCATAAATATTGTATCGGAGACATACTACCAAGTCGAAGGAAAAACAACTGCAGGGCGGAGGAAAAATGCTGAGAGAAGCGCATAAATAACACTAGGGGGTCATGGGTGGAGTGGCAAATGGGGCTTTCAGGAGGGGGCACTGGGCACGTATAAAATACACGGGTCACCAACGACGACGAGAAATAAATTGTATTTAGTTGTACAATTTATGGTCCCTATGCAGGGGGCGGAAAAGTGGGCGGGGGAGTGGAGGTGGTGGTCACATAGTTACACACATGCATAATTCAATGCAAGATGCGAAAGGGGCGTGGGAAAAAGGGGGCTGGGTCTATCGATGGCTGCATCGCCCGGGGCGACGTTGATTTTGCTACAGCGTACTTTGGCGGCATGTCCTTTGTTTCACTTTGTTATTTTGTTATTTTCAAATTATTTATTGGCCAACGAGCGGCGGAGATGCAGCCACGGCATCGGGAGCTTCAGTTCTGCACAGGAAGAATACAAGGTCTTAAAGAAAGTTTATAGCTTTAATAGTAATTTTTCAATAATACCAAAAACACTTGTAAACATAGGTGATATAACACCTCTAAGTCAGTATTTCTAATCCAATTAAACCCATAAGAGGATCACACTATACCCCCTTTTTTCCTCCGTGCATTTCCAGCTGCCTTCGCAGTTGAGTCGGGGCTAATGTGTAATTCAATAGAGTAAGTAATGTGCATCAATTTTCAGCTCAATAACGCATGGAATACAAATGCGAAACATGTGCAAATATGTGCGCGCTTCCACACAGACATCGACACAGCAAACATCCGCAGAAATAAATATCTAATAGCGAATAAGGGGGTGGTGGTGGGAGGGGGAGCGGGAGGTCCTGCAAGGACGAGTGCGAGTTCGACATTGTGTGACGCGTTTCCGTTTCCGTCTTGCGGTTCGCTGCTGTTTGCTCTCTGCCCTCCACTCCACTTTCATCCATCGCTTTTGTCTGCGTTTATTTGCTTTTCGGTATTGTCTTTGCCCCTTAGACGAAAAATTGCAATGGTTTTTGGCAATTGTTTTTCTTTTTAAATGTGTGCAGCCAGCGATCGTGCGCGAACTGCGTCCTGAGTAATGTGAGACCTTCAATTGCGCGGAAAATTGAATTCAGCGCCAAATGTCTGAATTTATGAGCAGTATGCAATGGCATCGGCACTGTTTGTTCGGAGGGACTCCGTCATTTGCACAACTGAGTTTTATTTGCTTACCGAACACCAAAAACCAAGCGACACACAACTGCTGGTCACTTGGCGCACAAACAAACAGAGGGAAGGCAGGCAAAACAGGATGCCAAGATGCCAGCTTGCAGTCAAGTGCATTGTGGCAGGCAAATAAACAAACAAAGCTACGGCTAACTGGAGACAGGACCTCACAGGACACGCAACTAACTGGCCAGTCACTGTGTACTCAGTCTTGGAAGGAGGTGAGCTCAGAGCAATAGGTTTTTCTTTTTTCTTTGTTTGATGTCCTGGACATGGTAGTATTTCGTGTTATTCGCTTTTTGCGTTTTCTGTCTCCTTAAAGGAGTAATCCTTCATTTATTTACAAAAAAGGAATATGCCTATAGGCCAAGGTAATATCTAGCCTTCGCCTACAATGTTCTTTTGCCATAAACTACATATTAAGGTGATTTAAACCACACATAGTGTTTGTAAAAATCGCAAAGTCTCTCGCCAAGTCGTGTAAATCGCAATTGCCACAATTTGTCTGGCGGGATTCATTGCCCTCGCTGCTGTTAATTAAAAATGTTGCCGGCAATTTCCTATACAAGTTAGGGCCCGACTGCATACAGGATTTGCCCGGAAAGCCGGGATAATTTATACCGGCTAATAGGAATCGTTCCGGGGATCGGAAACGGCCACAAGAATTTCAATTTGCTCAAGAAATTGCGGCCGCAAGTGCAGTGAAGCCCATGGAGTCCATACGTGTGTCTATCCGTTTGTCCGTCCAGATTGCCTGTCAGAGAGCCAAAGGGTCGAACGATTGCCCTATGGACTTGGCAGCTTATCCGACTGCGTTCTGGCCACAATTTACACCACGGCTGCAGCTCATAAATTTTCCCAAGTGGAAAATTGCTCAATTTATAACTGTGGCTAGGTGTTGATTGCACTTCGTTGGACGCCAATTCCTGTTAACGCTGTTTCACACTCCAAATTTGCCACCTGATTGGATATTCCTCGGAGATGCGGTGAACTTTGAAGCCCACTTATTAATTTGTTTATGCGACTCTAATCACTCACACCCAATCGCATAAACCGCAGATCAACTGTGGCCCCAACTTAGGATTCAGTTCATGAATGTGTGTCTGTCCCCCCGTTTTCCCTCAGTCAACAACAAATGTTCGAAAAATTTGTTAACATCAAAAAGTACATTAAAGGCTCAAGGAATGCGCTTTCGTGCGGAAATTGCTTACGTGCGTGGCATTAACAAATGACATCCCGCCGTCCGTATAAGACTCGTCCTTGGTCTTTCGTCCTTGGGGGTGCGTCCCTCCCCCTTTTTGGAGGCTGTGGAACTTGTCGCTTTGTGGTCCGTGCCTCAACCATTGGCCATCGGTGGTGGATTCGGGCCATCAGAACGCTACTGCGCATGCTGCAAAATAATTGTGGCTTCAACAAGTGTGTTGGATTTGCCACTGAGCCCGCGAAATTCAGCGGATCTGTGGAGACTTTTTTTCTGCTGGCTGCTCTGAGGCCTCCTCCTCCTCCTCCGCCCCACTTTTTCCAGTTGTCAACTACTCGAACGGCTCACGTAGCCCGGCAGTCGAAGCTGAAGCCACTTCACTACAAAATAATTAAAAATTGAACACACTGAACTGCGGAGCAGACAAACAAACGGCTAAATGACACTCGCCACGGCATGGAATGGAATGCAATGCGATCTGCCCGGGAAGCGACAAATGCACTGAGGGAAATGGTATATTAAATAAATTAAGTTGAATCTAGGAAAACATTTCCCAAATTTAAAATACTTCTTTAAATCTATCAAGCTTCAATTCATTAAACTACATCATCTGTTAAATACTCTTCTTTCCAACATTTAAATGTACATTTGTTCAAATACAAACTATTAGTAAATGGTTTGAAGCATCCCCAAGTTTTTGTTGCACACTTATTTTTTCAGTGCATAGCACTCTATGTTGTCAGTTGACATCATCTTGTTGTTTTTTTTTCTTGGACTGTCGTTGTCACTGCTGCTCATTTTACACAAACCAACAAAGGCCGAGGGCGACCCAACACGAACACGGCAATCTCCCCAGCAGGAGCTCCTTGCTCCTTGGTCCTTGGTCCTTGGTCCTTGCTCCCCTCTCCAGCTGCTCCTGTTTCCCGCTCATCTCGCCTGCAGCTGCTTAAATAATTTTCGCGATGGGGAGCGAGGTTCGTCAGTTGCCGGATATAAAATGTCAATAAGCTCCAATAACGCAATTGACAAGCTGAGACAGCCTCCGTCGCCAGAAGCCAGCAGCTGAACTGCGGCAACAATAAACGGCGGAAAGGAGCAAGGGTTAATGCAGTTGGCCAGCGAACCATGCACTAACTTCCACCATCGACATCTCGTGTTGCCTGCGGGATCAGAAAAGAGCCCCCGCCGAGTAATTTCAAGCTTAAAGAAGCTCCAAATTGATTACGGTTGAAATGATGGCCGTGGCCTTTATTGAAAGCAACTCAGCGAGCACTGAACAAAAATTGTTTACGGAAATGAAGCAGCAGCTGCAGTTTATACAAACTTTATATTAATTAAGCATTCATATACAATTTAATGAAATATTTTTAATCAATGACAACAGAGTATTTAAAAACGCTCCTCTTGTTGTTCCAACTTCGTGTTATTTGTGGCCGACGAGGAGCCAGAACCAGATCCTTGTGGCATCTCACGCATTTCTTCCGAGGAGCGTCCGATAACGATTCGGCGACTTGACTTGGGAGTGCGCTCCAAGGACTTGTCCAAGGACCTTCGCGGTGTGGTCCTGAGACTGGATACTGGGGTGCCAGCCACTATGGGCTTTTTGTTGTTCCACACGCAAAGCACGAACCGGATCTCTTTGTTGAAGGCGGCCTTTAAAGTGAGCTGTGTATGTCAGAATCCCAAAGATATAAGCAGGGATTTAATTTCAAAGTAAAGATTTAAAGAGTTAAGATAAATAAAAAAAAAAAATATGAGTTCATATTTATATTTATATTATCAAAGATATGAATCACCTTCTCTTCCAATGCCACTTGCTGAACGTAGACCAGAAACTCGGTGATGCCGATGAGGAAAGCGATCAGGATGCCCACGTAGAGCGTGTAGAAGATGCCGCGCAGCTCCTCGAAGTTCATGTCGGGAGTGGCATTCGGATCTGGTTCCTCAAAGCAGCTGGCGTTGGGGTTCTTCCACCACCTCTGCTTGAGACTGTACAGATCACCCCGTTCACTCAAGTGCAGGATGGCCACACTCAAATTGGACCTGTACTCCGCACCAAATGGAACCGCGATGGCATAGTGCTTCTCCCCGAACTTTTCTCCAACCGAGCGAAGGTCGCAGTTCTGCTCGCAATGGTATTCCAAGGTGGTGGTCTCCATGAGAAACATATAGTTGCCCTGGTTCTTCTTCACGCGTTCGACTCCCTCAGTATTATCCTTGGTGTAGGCCGAGGGATCGTCGTTGTTCATCAGATTGAAAGCCAGGCGATAGACGGTCTCGTTGGATTCAGCCAGAAGATTATATGTACTGCCACCGTAGATGGTGCCGAATTTCACCTTCTTCTGGCCACTCAGATCCTTCAAGTTGGCGATGCTGCCCTCCATTTTGGAACTGGTCAGAAAAGCAGCCAGATTGGCCGTATAGGAGTTGGCAATGATGATGGCAAAAATCCACCAGGTGGCCTCAAACATGCGAACCTGAAAATATTCTAGGTTTAATCATAATTTGTAATTATTTCTGGTGTATTTTTACCTGGGGACTCCTTGGCAGGATGTCGCATCCTGCCGTCATAATGGAGGCCACCGTCAGCCAGCCTGTGTTGTGGATGTGCCACTGATTTTCGAGCACTTCGGGGTCGCGGTTGCACGGATGCGGGTTCTCCCAGTCCATCTTGGAGATCCTCGCCACTATTGTCTTGAGAAAGGTCACCACGAACACCGATATTAGAATCCAGATCCAGACTTCGCCGCCAAAGGGTTCCAGATACGCATCCAGTGACTTTTCCTCATGCGGACTTTTGTAGGCGAGTATATTAACTCCCAATTGCATAAAGGGCACCGTAAAGTCCACTGCGGTTTTGCGAGCTTGAGTGATGGTTAGATCACAAATTCCCATGTGCGCATCCTTAGAGGTTTAATAATCATGAATATATAAATTAGAATAAGAGGACATATTTTAAAGAAGAAAGTATGCAAACTTCGGCAAACCGAAGTTTATATACCCTTGCATTTCGATTTCTATGCCTATATTAGTAAAAACTATGAAGCTATGTCGATTTTGCGCTGGATTTTGTCATCGTTACTATGACAGCTATATGATATTGTTGTCCGATTTTAATTTAATTAAAACCGTAATTCCATAATATTTAAATATAACTAAATACCAAAGACAAAAAAGAAACAAATTATTAACAATAAAGTTATAATTTTTTAAAAAAATTTTTCTAGTGTTCCCATGGGAGCTATATGATATAGTCGCCCGATCCGGCTTGTTCCGACTTATATACTACATGCAATAGAAAGACAACTTTTGGAAAAGTTTCAAGCAGATAGTTTTAAAACTGAGGGACTAGTTTGCGTAGAACCGGACGGACGGACAGACGGACATACGGACGGACATGGCTTAATCGACTCTCCTGGTGATGTCGGAAATGTCTCTTTCACTGCCTTGCAAACTTTTGACGGAAATTATAATACCCTCTGCAAGGGTATAAAAACCTTAAATTCAGGCAGAGTATATAACAAAGACTGAATTTATTTCTATATATCTTCTTACATTGTTAACGATTTCCCCGATGATGCCATTCCACTGCTTGGTGTCTTTGTCCAGCTTTCCATACTGCTGATCGGCAACCGGAACGAAGATATACTCGAACCCAACTTCTTTGGCGATGGCGGCTATAAGGTCCACGGCATATCCTTTATACAGAGCGTTGCCTGTAAGATTTAGCTCGGCGGCAGTCTCGTCCACCGAGAAATACGGCGGTCCTATTCTCGTGGCCACGCGGTATATTATCTTCTTCTGCACCTTGGCGTCCACATTCAGCTGAGTTATTTGGCCCCTGGGGTCCCAGATGGCTATGCCAATGCCGTCCAGGGGATCGTACACCTCAATGTTGAATGTTATCCGCTGTCCATCCTTGTCGAACTGCAGACTACTTGTCCGGAAGTTCGTGCTGTTCACGCCGGAAGTCTGCAACACACCTCGGAGATTAACGGCAGTTTCCTTTGGTTATTCTAGAGCTGCACTTCTTACCCCTTTCATGAGGCGCGTTAGATAGCGACCCATGGCCCAGGTGCGACCTCCGGAAGCCGCAAAGTCGCAGGTTATTCGCGGCACTTCCATCTTGTCCGGGTAAAAGAAGCTGGCATTCCGCCAGGATTGCGCAAAAAGGTGTAGTGCATCATGAATCAGGTCGTGGAGCAGAGTGCGTTCCGACTCATTGCTTTCGTAGACGATGTTCTCCCTTTGAGTAACGTATCCATAAGGCTGGGAATACTATTTAAAGGTTAATTTGGCTTATAATTGATAAATTAGTTAGGGAAAATCACTGGTTTACTCACCGCTGGCGTATCGGGGTTGAGCAACAGACGAGCAGCTGTTATGTTTACGGCAAAAGTTTCATTATCCGCTGAGAGTTCCTCCAAGTGATCAGTGTAGGTCTCCAAGTTGGTCAAAAATATGTGCTGTTTGTTAAAGAAAACTAAGTAGGGAAAGATAACGAGGTAATAATAACTCACATTGAACTGTCCAGTCAGTCCAAACTCCGAGGAGGAGTTCAAGAGTTCCACCAACATGCCAGGAGGACAGTCCAAAACCACTCGTCGTTCACCTCTGATGCTCTTCCACATCACCCTGTAGTCATCGTCCTTTTGAAACTTCCTTACTCGCACTACGTCGTTATGGACCTCTCGCAACTGCAAAAGATCCTGCAAGCGAGCTGCAGCTTTAGCTAGACAGGATTGGATTATTATCAGTACATTTGAAAATAAATATAATAGTTCTAAAGGATATGAACAAGTTATTATGATTATGGATTTACTTAAAAACAAATATATAGCTCAAATAACTAAATTCAGTTAAAAACGAGAATAGAAGGAATATCGAAAATTGATGATTAATAGAATAAATTAGCCTTACATCATGGTTTTATATCATTTTGGACCATTCCCTTGTCCAAAATGATATAAAACCATGATGTAAGGCTAATATATCAATAAATTTCCATCGCTTGGAATTCTTAATAAAACATGATATTACCCCTTATAAAATGTAAAGTATTAACTAATCCACATAAAAAGACATCATCAAGAATATAAATTCATTATAGTTTCAGAAATATCTCCTGTATTGCAAACCTCTTACCAAAATGTTAATATCCTATGCAAGGGTATTAAAAACTTAACCTTATCGAAATTAAAAATATTATTAAAAAGACTGATTTCACTCACCATCATCGGCATCATAAACAATGGTGAACTTGCGCCACCCAAAATTCTGCACAATATCGGCATAGGCCTTTGACAATATAACCTGCGATGGGTAGAGATTCAGGGTTAATTGATGGTTGGGCTTCTCTTCCTGATGCTCCTCGTCCGAGACATCAAACTCTATATGCGGTATGCCGGTATTATTGCACACCAAGGCTACAATGTCTGCAAAGAGATCAAAAAATAGATATAATATAGATTTTAGGCCAAAGAGAACTGATCACTCATCCGCTCTGTTGACAAACAAATCCGGCTGTTTGTTGCGAAAGTTCTCTGACATTTTCTTCTGGCCCAAATTCGTCGTCAAGCTTTTTGCTTGTTCTATTTTGCTTTCGTCTTCTACACAAGATTTTCCCCATACTCGTCTTACCGCTCGCCGCCTTTGAACTTGGTCCGAAAATAGCCGCGACACCATTATCTATGAGATCGCAGGCTGAAAGCGAAAATTAACACAAAATTCATTCAGAGTTTCGTGGTAAGAGAGGGGATGGAATTACCCTGTTCCTGCATTGTTACACTGCCATCTTCGGGCTTTAAGCGCTTGATAAGCGGATTAAAACGATGGGTTTGCTCTGATTCCGGTCCATTAATAGCGTTCACCACCTCCATGAACTCCTTTTCCAGCTCCAGCTCATCGTCGTAGAAGAAGGCACCTGGAAGGAAAATAAAAACCTGGGGTAGCTGCTTTTCACTGCTGCTGACCACATCAACTCACCGATGTTTATTTGCTGCCCTCGGCTATGGCACACGAAAAATGCACTCCAAATGCAGCTGAGCAAAACCATGTGATGCCACATGCCTGCTGCTCTGGAATTTCCTCCGAACATTTTTGGCCACGGGCTGAGCTATTTCCGAAATATTTCGTTTTTCATGCGAGCACACCGGCTGGCAGTTCCACGACAACTGGGGAAGCTTTTCTGGCAATCGATGATCGAGTACGACAAATGGAGAACGGAGATCAGCTGGGCGGAAAAGCTTAATCAGCTGATTTCCTTCGTGACAGATATATGATTTTTAGGAAACAAAAAACCTTATTAGTCTTAAAAATATAAACGGTAATTAAAAACTGTTCTTATAAGTTAAGAATTATTTAAAGTGAATTATGGGAGTTATATAATTATAAACTAATTATAATAAAATTTATCAACACTCAACAAATTTATCATGTTAAACAATTATTACAGAAGTCGATAAATATTCCTTAACTGATTAGAAATTGCATAGCAGAGAAACTGCTTTGAACTACAGTGTTAACCCCTGCTTTTTCTAGCACATAATTATTTAGTTCAAGATTTAAGAAACTAAATTCAAGACCAATATCCCTTGGAAAAAACTCCTTATCTAAGACATCCGTAAAAGGTCTAGCGATTATCTCCCCGGGGAGCAGAATCCATTAAAGCCGGACACGGTTCAATCAGCCGAAGTCTTTCACCCACGAGCGAAGCCTCTGGTTCCAGGTGCTCCATTGAAAAGCGATGAGGTGTCAATTTTTCATGGCAACAAGAGGACAGGAAGGTCCTTCCAGCCATCATAGGTTCGGGGATTTGCATAAAGGGAGCATTCAGCATTCACCCAAGCATTCTTTTAATGGCTGGGAGTACAACACGGAAGTAACAATATAGCCGCTGGTGTCATTTTAGCCTTTGCCACTGTGTTTGCTCAAAGGATTTTGCGGATGCCGAACACGTTTCGTGTTTTAGCCTGGGTACCTTTTGTCGAAATTTGAATAATTCCCACCCAATTCCGGAAGGAGGTTTAACCCCGACTAACCGTTAATATTCATTTGAAGTTGGGAAAATCCAAATATTCAATATGCCTCGAGTCAAGCCGCTGATGATGATAAATGCCCTCCTGGCCAGAGCAACTATTCCGAATTGAATACCCAACCATATACCATTAGCGTGGAATTTCCCGAGCTATTTTTTTTTCGATTAAAACTTCGCCAGCAATTCGCTGCCGTAATCAAGCCAAAGCCAAGAAGTGAGCACAACAAAAAAAGAAACTTGCAAAACATTTTCTATTACACGAAATATTTATGGTTATCATGCGGAGGCAGTGGCCAAAACGGGGCCACCTATGAATGGAATGCCCTGCAGCTGGCCAAAGGAACCAGAGCCGCCAGAACAACTAGACCAACCGAAGCCCCCACCAAATCCCTACTCCGGGTCCCCAGCAAAGCTCACCGAGCAGAGAACACAGCACAACAAATCCAAATCCTGGCCACAACAGCAGAAGAATCTGCAAAACTTTTGCAAGGTAATAGAACTCCGAGGGGAGGGGGGCTTGGAAAATGGGGATGTGGGAAACTGAGAGGGATGATGATGCTCTCTGGCTAGTGCAAAAAAGTTTTAATACTTGCCATAATGTTGCCAAAAGGATTATCCGAAAGAATGACTTTTAATGGAGACAGGAAGTAAGCGCATAACAGACAGAAGTATTAACTGTTTCCTTCCGCCTGCTGGGGAGTTGCTCCTTCAGAAGGATTTCAAGGGGAACCTCTGCACACATATTTACAAAACTGTCAGTTCCTAAGCGCTCCTTTCTGGAATCCTTTAGTGCGTGTTCTTGTGTGTGTTTGTTTGTCTGGGTTTTGCGGCACGTAAGCTCTGCGAAAATATTGCAGCATTCTCATAACGTGAAACTCAGAGTCGGCGTCTGAGGCTGAAAGGCTTACGACAATTTCTACTCCATTCCAAGGGGTATTATGATTTCCACCAAGAGATTGGCACTACACTAGTTTTTTAGTGGTCGATTTTTTAAAAACACATTTATTGTTTTGACATTGTAAGATATTTATATAAAAATATACAAAATTTCAAAATTAAAATAACGATTTTATATTGAGAGTCCTTGGCAAGAGTATTCAATCCCCAGATCTGTTTTTTCCCCACCAACTGTCGAGTGTTTAGAGAACATTTCTTAGCCGGGATTTGCAAGTGGCGGTTGCCTTGGTCAATGATTGGCACTCGGGGCACCAAGATTCGAGCTAGAGCTACTCTGCTTAAACCTTCCCCCTGTGAGTTTTCCAGTATACTTTACTTTACTCTCATTTTGCATTTTAATGAGCGTTCGCCTGAAATATGAGACGCCGTCGTGGAAAAAAAGGAGCGGTGATGACAACAGCGGGCGCCATAATTTTGCATCCTTCGCTTCGCTTGTTCTTCTCCGCACTCCTTTCCTTGGCCGTATTTTTCTTCGAAAGTGTCCTAAGTCGGCTTCATCGTCGTGTCCTGGCTGCAGGATATTGCTTTAATTGAAATTTATGCTAAATAGATTGACACTAATGAGCAATGGCTCCTGCTCCGGCTGCTTTTTCAGCTGCCGGCCAGGTAATTCCCGGCAAGACTATCTGCATAATTAAATTGCTTCTCGGCGTCTTCGCCCGGCTAATGTCAACCGAATTATTATTATTATTTGAGCATTTTAATATGAGCCGATCCCCCATTTGCATAGCAGACCCAAAGCCAAGTGCCACCAGCTGACAAATGGCTCAAGTTGTGGCTCTTCCGCTGCTGCTGAGTGCTCCACTTCCGTTCCGGATGCGACTTCTGCGACTTCTGCGACATGTGTAGCTGAGAGCCAAAAGTCCCCACCTAGATTCATTGTACAATCGACGCCCCACAGGCGGAGAAAAAATCGGCATCTACTTTGACACTCCACCACAGATTATGCTAGTCGATAGTTGCAAATATTAACTATTTAAATAAATTTAAAAAGAAAGGTGAGGATCTGCAACCGAAAAACACCAAACTAATTTAACATAGATATAAATAAGTTTTATTATATCAATAAACCATTTTAAAACGCGAATTCTTCAGTACTAGATATGCGAACACATCGCATTTAAATTTCTTTTTCGAAATATCTATAACCCAGTTGATGGTTTTATGTATTTTCGGAATTTCCTGATTAATGGGTATTATTCAATGTTATATTTTTTCATTCCAAAGTCTAGAAGATGAAAATCGAGGCAATCCTATATCCTTTTTTTCGGTGGATTTCGCTGTGGATTTCCCCTCTCATTTATCGCTTTGCTTTGGTGACGGAAATGAGTTTTTGTCGTAAAGTTTTATGGCAATAAACGTCGCTTGTTAGTCCGGGGTTTTGCCAGAGCCCCAACCTCCGAAAAGCAGCGCTTCTGCCCCCTTGGCAGCTACGCACTTGGCACTGAAATCATAGCCAGGGCTCGTGGAGAATAAACATATAAATAGCTCTAGAGCCAAGAATGGTGTCGTTGTTTTCTACGGCACGTTACACATTGCCAGGCTGCATAAAAATAGTTGGCCAGCAGGAGCAGCCTGAGGTGGTTGTGGATGTGGATGTGGATCCTGTGACCATTTTCCATTACATTTGCCACGTCACGGCACATTTCTCTCGCATGTTCCACTCTAACCGGAGTCTATGGCAGCTCCCTTCCGGTTCCGGTCCTCTGGCTGTTATCATATCTGGCTTTTGTTTTACCCCGACTTCTCTCTCTTTTAATTCTTTTAACAATTGCGCTAAAAGTTGTGCATTAAACACTTGGCTGCCTTTCAGCCAACAATAAAAATGGGCACGGAAACGAAGCTGTAAAGTATACCACCCTGGTGCCCAGATAACAGAAATATTGTTTACCGCAATGCAATTGTTGCCAAAGAAAAGCACCAGCGAAAAAAGTGGGGAAAGTGGGGGAGGGGGTGGTTCAAGCCTTTTCATTTGTTTTACTTTATTCACACCAAGAGCAAAAGTTGCCCAGTAGAAGCTGCAATCGGAGGAGATGGAGGAAAATCGGGGGGAGGGGGAAAGTGTACAGCTTCCGTTTCCGCTGAAAAGTTTCATTTCCCACACGCCGTTGACTGAGCGGCTGCTCCGTCGATGATAAAGTGCGAAATTAACTTTTGAAATAAACAACAAAAGCAACAACCACGGCTCGGTTCCCGAGGCAATGATATACGGGACTGCGGCTCCGGTTTCTGCCTCACATGTGTTCCTTGCATGTAAAACAGGCCGGGGAGAATGATTAAGGTGGCGCAGAACATCGAATATCATTCACCTGATACTCCGGCAATCGAAGTCCGTGCTCCATTTGGTTTTTAGGCACGTAAAAAATATGAAAATTTTCGCATAAGCAGGCGGAAGTTCATAACTCGGCAGAAATCTCGACCCATCGCATAGGCATGCATATTTAATACGTGGCCACGCCCCAGATTCACTGTAACCCAGGGGTACAGTGAAAGAAAATTATATGTTACCCAATTATAGTTTTGAAATATAAATTTAATAATATAAATATATTTAAGTTAGGGTTGATTAGTGTCTTTAGAAGACATAATCTATTTATACGTTGTTATAATCAAAATTCTCTTAGATAATTAAATTCCACAATGTTAAAAAACAATATTAAATGGGAGCAATAGGTAGAAATAGAACTACACCACATCGAAAGATGATTTTAATATATTCCTTTTAAACTTAACGTATTTGTTATAGCTTATTAGAATCAAATTATGAGCCTCTTTTCTCTCAGTGTCTGGTGCTCATGCCATCAACACGAAAAGCAATCAAATTGCAAAAATTTGTTTCATTTTCTGCGATAACATGACTTGAATTTGATGAATGCCTTGGCAAGAGCAAGCCATGAACCGAATGGAATGGAGAGGGGGAGAGGGTGGTAGGGGGGCGGGGCCGAAGGGCGGAAAGGACGCGAAGGATATTGGCAACGAAAGCCAAATGCCAATCTCGGCGCGCTTTTTACGAGGCCAGGCTTCGGTGGGCGGAATGAAGTGGATCGGGGTGAATGGGGTGCTCAGCATGGAAAAAATGTGCAGATATGGCCAAATGAAAGAGTTATGAATCCGCAACTTTGTTGCTCCCCAGGCGCTTCTGGCTCCAGCTCAACATGCCCCACCCAGC